TTTATCTACAAGTGCACGTCACACACTGAGCGAGCCGCCTGTTAATGACGCTGTGGGCTAATGGGCATGTAGCTACTTCCATGTTTCAGATGATACGTCATGTTTGTAGTCGACCAATGAAGATGAGTTTACATATCACCTTGGGTTCGTCCTTCACCTTCTCAAAATGAACCCACACTTTGGATTTCCTGCCTGACATGTTATTAACTAGCCTGTGGAATAACTGCAGGTACCAGCCCTGGAAATTAGAGGCCGTACACATGCTGCATCTCTGACCGCCTGGAAAACATGTGGTCGGGCTCTGGGTGCTACTCTTGTGCCTTTTTTGTGCTAGTTTTCAAGAGCGCAGAGGCAGGTAGCCTATTTAAATGAAATCCTGAGTGCAGAGCTGATCTTCTTCCAAGCGCTGTTTATAAGTGTGTAGGCCTATCGTCCGTGGGACAGATGTATAGCTCTGGGTAGCCCTGCACTAACATGACCAACTTTTCCGTATTTATCAGACTGAATATTTACAGAAGAAGTGAAAGATATCTGTCAGCTGTGATTGGTTTGTACTGTGACTCCTGTCTGATTGCTGACTGTGGCCACTTCCTGTGTCTGTCCTTTCAAATTAAATTCCCACATGGTCCAGTCATATAGGTTTTGAATTAATCTGACAAGGCACAACTTCTAGTGGAGTCTGAGATTTGTTTGTTTGTTTTCTTGCAGCTTAGCAACCAATGAAACCTTGCCGGCTAATGATGTTTCTGGTTGACAAACCTTTAGTGGTCTATCAAGCCAACCCACGCAAGAGAAGAGGCCTAATCAGGCAACAAAAATAAAATCACCTGTGTGGGTTTACTCAAAGTGTGCGTGGCCTTTAAACATGTTTGTTTGGCTTAAAGGATGCACAAAATGCATTTTAGTTAGAAACTCTGAATGTAAACACAACCTTTACTAGACCATCACATGGTACCTTTGAACGAGGTCTTCTTGTAATCCCTGTTGACCTAGACCAAGGCTTGCATTCACCAGTAAACAAATAAATAGAGCACAGTGAGACATAATTGTACAGTAAAAAAATACTGCTCAAGTACAAAGTAATTTTCCGGGACTTTGTGCGTGCTTGCAGAGGTCACATGTGTAATAGACAACTGTGTCTGGGGTTTGTTCTTCACATTATATCCTGTTGTATTTCTGTCTCTCAAGGATGGGTTTGGGGAAGGGACATTTGGAGGAAAAACAGCCAGTGAGACATACGTAAAACACATGTACAGCAGTCGGCCGTCTCTTTGGTGCAAGCTTTAGTTAATTTCAGACGAGGTGCAAACAGAAAACTACAGCTGATACTTTGAAGTTTTTCCCCTGTGTGCACCACAACAGCCCCAAACAGAAAAGGGCTGTTAAAAAATAGGCTGCCTGTTCAATTTGAATAGAATGGAGGCCATGAAAGAGCATACATTTGCAAATAGTTTGCATCTAATTGTGTGCAACTTGAATACCATTTTAAAAATGGCAAATATCAAAAAGATGAGTGCTTTTTCACTTACTTTGCTTTCAAAGGGTCAAATCAAATTTACTTGTCTGTGCAGTGTGTCATTTGTTGTGTTTTCTATGGCTGAAAAGTAGTTTCTTTCTAACTAATTTTGACCTTATTCACACTGTTTACATCTTTGCAGTGATTGAAGTAATGTCAAGGTTTTTTTAACAAAAGACTCAGCGTTGCTGATGTTTGTCTTCAAACTAGTACGGGGTTTGAATTGCGCATTGTTGTTATATTTTTCCCTTTTCTATAAGTGTGTTCTTATGCACTCAGTGCTCTGACAGCCAAGACGTGTAAAGCAACAGAATCTCTCGTTGAGCACTCATCTTTCTGGATCAGTGTATAGTAGCATAACATTTATAATCTGACACTTTTATATGGCACGATTCTCACACAAAAAGTGTCTCATAGAATAAGTTCAGGATGAGAATTGAAAACCGGTTCCAGCTGAAAACTGGTTCCAAATTGTCTGATCCACTGGAACTGTATGCGAGCTGAGCTTATCACTCTTTTTATATATCAAGGCTGGCGTGTTTTTCTGACAGTTACATATTGCAAAATAATGACGTCAAACTCATGTTGTTTACGCTGCTGGGAACTTGCAACAAGCACTCATGGCAGAGAGGAAAAAACAGCCCACAGCGTGGTTTCATTTCTGGAAGAAAGATGAAAACAGTGCTGCTTGTAATGTCTGTAAAAGGATCATTTCAGGAGCGGATGGAAACACCAGCAATATGCAGCTGTAAATGGCATTGTTAGCAATAAAATCTCATTAGTTCCCATCTCTGGAATACATCATTGCATTGCATTGTTCGGCGTTTATGTTGCCTTTAAGAATCAAGCCAGCAGGCTACAGGAGCTGTAGGTGTCCTCACTAAAACCTTGGACTCCTTTTGAAATGAAACTGCACTACAGGATACATAGAGATCACGCACTGTATTTATCAGGAGCAGCACTGGAAAAATATCACATGTAGTATAGCTGCTGCAAACAGCAGGCTGAAAACCCTCGCACACAGTACAAGTTGCACTCATAAATGGCAGGTCACAATTCTTAATTTAGTTTACAATGGACAGTGTCAAGAATTCTAATATCTTTTTTTGTTTGTACCCCACTCCTTCAGAACTAATCATTAGCTGTGTTTTATGTCTGTGGTCAGGCTTTGTGAATGTGATGAGTTTTTTTTTTTTTTGTAAGGTCAAGTGATGTGTGAAGTGTGTGGAGAAAATTACCTGTTAGACTAGACTAAGGTTGTGCATCCAGAGAGGAACATAGAAATACATTGCTCAAAAAAAAATCTTTACTGATGTTCATTGTGTAATTTGTTGAGAACAAAATGACGTAATCATGGTCAGTGGAAACCAAAATCATCAACCCACTGAGGGCTTGATTCAAAATTACAGCCCCTGCATGCCTGTATGCACTCCAGGCAGCATCTAGGCATGCTCCTGATGAGTCTAGGGATGGTGTCCTGGGGGATCTCTTACCAGACCTGGATCAGGGCATCAGTGAGCTCCTGGACAGTCTGTGGCGGTACTTGACGGCATCAGTTGCAGCGATACATAACATCCCATAGGTGCTCAGTTAGATTTACATCAGGGCAACGAGCGGGCCAGTCATTGGCATCAATGCCTTCGTCATCCAGGATCTGTCCACGTACTCTGGCTACATGAGGCTGGGCATTGTCCCCCACCAGGAGGAACCCAGGGCCCACTGCACCAGCGTAAGGTCTGACTATCACTCTGAGGATTTCATCTGGGTACCTAATAGTGTTCCCTTGAGTCTTTTGGGCAGTGCAGTAAATTTTGGGCTTGACAACAACTTTTTGAGGCACTTGTCCTTCGAAAAAAGGAAATTTCCCTTTCATTTTTCCAAGCACATCGTTTGAAGAAAGGTATTTGCACTAGAGCTTAGATCGGGCTCAAAAAATCCAGCCCGACCCCACCCGAGCCTGTGCATGTTCTGCCTGGCCCGTCCCTTTAACTGTGATTACAAGCCCGAGCCCGGTTTATACCCGACATGTTTTTTTAAGGATACAAACGTGGACATTGAAGGCTGACTCTCGTCTTTCTTTCCATGGCAAGCCTTCCTCATGTGCCTCTTAAGTGTCGATGTCCCCGTCTTTTTGCTGTCATATACCAGCATCGTGCTGCACTTGGTACACTCATCAAAGCCGACACACACGTTGTCACCGTTGACAACTCACATGTACATGGCCGGTGGCGCCATCAAGGCCCCCTCACAAAATATCACTTGAATCTTTGAACAGAAAATCCTAGACACTGCTCTTGCTCAGCTTCACAATTCATTGGTAACACTAACATTTCGGTCCTCCTGGACCTTTGTCAAGAGTGTTTTCCAACATTATTTCCAACATTAGAAACAATAGAAACTGCCCCACCCATTTCACAGGTGTGCACAGGTGTGAGGTAATTAAAAAGCCATGGGTGTTTCTCAATAATTGACAACAGTCTGTGCAGCATATGTCACATATCCACAAACGAAAGAGCAAGAGAACAAGGAAAACATAGGAAAAAATTACACAATCTCCTTACACAATAATGACTGTTTACAAGATTATTTACAAAAAATGAAGATCTTATGAATGACCTAATCGCCCTTGCAGCTTTCATAAATCATTTGAAATTATCAACATTGTATATTCTTATGCCATGTATTATAATTGGTCTTTTGAGATCCCCAAATCCATTATAGCATGACATGCCAGGGTATCTCATCATTTAATCCTTTGGGAGATAGTTTTTGCAGATTACTGTAGATATCCACTACACTTCTCTTCCGCTAAGTATTTCTTCACTGTTACCACCTCTCTCTGGCAGAGTAACTTTTTCATTTGTAACAGCCATCTGAAAGAGGTTTTAACAAAGACTGTATACTTTTTTGTCCAAGCACAAACTCTCTTATTGAAGTAGAAGTGACAGTAGTTTACTTTTTCCATTTGAACTTGAGTGCTTTTGTCTCCTACTTGCTGTCAGCTAGGAGAGACGTGTACATGGTTTGTTGTCATGCCAGGTCAGCAGCCTTAAATCTGATTTAAGACTGTGGGTGAGCAACAGTGTTCTACCTATTTGTTTTTCATCCATTGTATGCAATTGCTTTCACCAAGGAGGTTATGATTTCACCCATTTAGAAATAAAAAGGAGCAAAAATTTAGCCTTTGCAAATAATTACCTTTATATTGATAACAGTCGGCGACAGCAATGAAAATCAAATCATCCGTTTTATTATTCATACAAAACACACCATGCACACTTCTCTCTGAGTTGACAGCGAGTTGAGAGAGGCGTCTCTCAACTGCCGACAGAGTGCCACTGTGGTTACACGAGTTTGACAGTAACTTGGTTATATTTTAAAAGGCAGAATTGTGTCTTTCATGAATGCAAGGTGCACAATTCATTTGAAACTAATTGCCCTCGGTTACACAGGCTAACATATCTCTCTGTCTATCTTTCTTTAGCTCTCCTGAGGGCTTGTGCTGATGGAGCTGCCAATCACCTTTATAACATCACTGCTGGAGTTAGAGACAGGTGAGGCTGCATTGTGTTGTCATTTGCATTAGTTAATTTGTGTTTTCTCTCATGTCCTCCTCTGTGCGTGTTGTTGTGTGGGAATGTTTGGGAGAGAGATGGTCAAATTGTCTATGTGCACACTGTTTATTTAAGAGCATCGTGTTTGTTTTTGAGCAGCACTTTATTGTGCATTCAGCACCTCTGTGTTTGGTTGCATGTGCATGACTTTGTGTGTTTCAGGTGAGAAATTGCACCCTTTTTATGTATTAGCGTTGTGTGAGAAAGTACCGTATGTGCGCTCTCTGCAACCATATTTTTGTGTGTGTGCGGCTAATGGAGGACTGCTGTCAGGACAGAGATGGATCTGGGGTCCAAGGTGTCCCTGAAGTGTCGAGGCTTTCGCATTAACACCCAGAGTGTGAGCGTGAGTGTGTATTTTGTCGGGGTGTGAATGTGATGTTATGTCTGTCTGTGTACATGCTCTTGCAATTCTATCGTGGTAACAACCATTTTAGGTTGTAGACATGTGAGGTGAGGATAGTTTCGCAGAGGGACGTCATCTAGGCCCATTTACACTTTTTCAGCAGGCAAACTTATTCTTGTCCTTGAGGTGAGGACACAAACTTAAAGCTGAAAACCTTGAATATTTTTTTAAAACTAATGTAGTGTTATTATATGAATGTGTCTGGCTGACTGAGCAGATGCAGTAAAACACACCACTGTGGTTGGAGACCCTCTGCATACTTTGCAACCAATGTTGATCAAGTTTACTTGATAAAAACTTTTCACATTGATTAATTCATGTGCATTTATTGTAACACCGCCCACACAGTGGTGTAGATGGTGTAGTCTGAATGGTCAATAAACCAATGCTACTGTTGTAAAACAACAAAGAAAGAAAGAAAAAAGAGAGAAAGCGAAAGTTCAGTCTTGGTGCTCACAGTCCATTCCTAAGTAGCATGATGCAGAAATTATAAAAAAAACCCAGAAATATAAGTTGTTTGTTTATTTTGGTTTAATAACCATTTGTTCATAGGATCCAGCATTAATATTGACAAGAATTTTAGATTTAGTTTTAGTCTTAGTCGCTTACTCGCGAGACTCGAGAACAAGTCGAGTCTCGCGCAAGTTGCCATGTAAACATAGCACGCCTGCGGGCTAACTGACCACGGTGAGAAATGATGCTATAAAAGTGGAGTAAATTACTTCTTTTCAAGTCAATTTTGCATGCCGCGGCTTCAGGGCACTTGGATTACGACGGACGAGCCGTTCTGATGTTTTTGAAATGCATTAGCGGAGTTTTATTACATTTTCAGAATGATTTTGGACGTGGGTTCCATGCACTTCAAGTGTATGGAAAAATCCGGCTAGCTGTTATCCTCCGATACCCCGAATGAGTTTTGTGGATTAAAAAACTACACTGGACTTCTTGTCGGCATGAGTGTGAGTAAGTACTGTCTGTATTTTCATTCTAAAGTGGTCATTTCTTGAGTTGTACTGATACCAGTATCAGAAATGCCTCCGATACTGCCTAAAATGCGGTATCGGTGAGTACAGCCTATGACCAATCCGATACCACGTAATGCCTCACGTCATTACGCATACGCACGCTACAGGCAAACGAAATGGAAATGGAGCGGAGTTTAAAAAGCATTCTACTGTAGCCTTTAAGATGTCTTTTTTACCAAATTGTGTGGCTGCACTTTAACCTGTGTCTTGATCTGTGTCAACACTGGATAATGATAATAAAAAAAGTTTTATGGCATTCTACTATTATGTATTTATTTCTTAATATTTTACATAGAGTTTTAGGAGTTGAGACATACAACAGTTCATATCCCATCCATTTTTATTTTACGCGCTGGTATCGGATTGGTACTCGGTATCGGCAGATACCTACGGTTCAGGGATCGGAATCGGTATCAGGAAGGAAAAAGTGGTATCGGTACATCACTAGTCATTTCCTTTAAGTTCATACCAAATTATGTTAAATGTTTGCCAAATGAGTTGTAAGAAATCACAAATCCTCTCAGAAGAAGTAGATGTTACTGCACAAGGAAGATCGGCTCTTTTAAATTTAACAATTATCAAATACAGGATTGATTATAAGGTGGTTTTATTTGTTCTTAAAGCCATTCATGGGCTGACACCCCAGGACATTGCCGAGCTCCCAACCTCTTAGATCTTCAGAACAGTTTCTCTTAACTGTCCTACGATCGAGTCTAGTGGGTAAGAGAGATTGTGCCTTTGCAGTAGCTGCTCCAAAGCTTTGGAATATCCTTCCACTCTCAATCAAATGCTCCCCCTCCATTGACACTTTCAAGACAAATCTGAAAATGTACATATTTTTAATGGCCCCTGGTTGCTCTTAATGGTTTTAATATTTTAGTAATCTATCCTGTATTTACATATGTAATTGTTCTTACTGGTGTTATTCTGTTTTATATTTGTGTACCTGTTATATTACTCTATGTTTGTGTGTGATTATTCCAGTTTGTACAGCACTTTGGTCAACAGCAGTTGTTTTTAATGTGCTATAAAAACTTTTGATTTGATTTAACAATATGTCACCGGAGCAATGCAAGCTAATTGCTGTTGTGACTGGTTAATAAGGAAAACAGCCAATGCTTTGAGATGGCTAATGTGATCTAACTTAGATTGTGCGCCCAAACAGAGCCGACTATTTTGTCTCATCTTTACTCGTCAGGGAGTAATGGACTGATTCTTGCTGTAATTTTTGTTGTCAACATTTTTTTCCATTTATACTGTTGTTGCAGTTTAGTCATGAAGTAAAATGGCTTCAACAAATACTCATCGGCAGAATTTTTTATTGACAAAATGAACACCAACAGCAATTCTCTTCAGATTTTTGGTTATGCTTCTAGATGTGATCGAGGAGAGTTGTTGGAGATGAAAGAGTCCTCACTATTACAGTAGGACAAACACGAATGTGTTCTGTGTGTCTGCGGGAATGTACATGTACTTTTTCATTTTATTCTCAAAATGAAATCAGTCATATATATCTGTCTTAGAATGTGAGATCGAGCATGTTTGGCCTGCTGGCAGAGGCATCGCTCATGCTTCTGTCTGTTTGTGTGACACAGCAGATTCATTTTCTGACCCTCCAGTCCGAGCTCTGTCAACAGCCTGTACAGCCGAGCTGACAGCCAGGCCTCCCTTTTAGCCTGACTGCTCCCAAACCAAACAACATCAGCCCTGGAAAGTTATACATTACACAGGAAGGGTGGAGACAGGAGGAGAAAATAAGATAATAATAATAAAAAAAAAAAAAAGAAGGGAATGTTTACAGGTTGGGATGTGTAAATCAGTCACCAGCAAGTTAAGATGTCTTTAACCTAACATTACCATAACTAATGGACTACAGAGAGGGAGACGAAGGGAAGAAGGAAGGTGGAGATGCAAGTGATCAATCAAAGCTTTATGAGCACTGGAAACACACAAAAGCAGCAACACCTAATCAAATAGAAGGAGGTATGAGAGAGATGCAGACAGAGAAGAACAATCAGAAGATAGAAGACAAACTGCTAGAGAAATATTATTTTAGATCCAAGATAAGGACATACTGTAGTCGATAGCTGAGCAGAGATTTGCCCGTCTGTGGGTCTGTGTAGGTTGTTTTGCATTTGCAAGTTTCTGTGTCTGTGTGTGGGCGTACATCTTAGGGCTCTTACATTTTCCCAAATTATGTACAAATGAAATCGTTACTGGGACATTTTTCCACCCCAGATATCACAGTGATAAACTTCAGTTCCAAATATCAAAACTGGGCTATCTAGTTTGTCGTAGACATGCAAAGCAGAGCCGTCTGAGAGGTCCCACATCAAAACTTTAGCTTACACATCAACAGACTCATGAAAGGATCAGTCCCCCACCCCCAAACTTCTGCAAGTAATGCTGACAAATCGTGCCTCCTCACTGCAGGGAGAACACTTCGGCTTTTAAGATCCAAACGAGAATCCAGCAAAAGTGCTCTGCCGTCTGTGCGCTGACATCACTTTGACCACATTCACTGCATTTGTGCTGGTGAAGATGTAAGTTATGTCAGATTTGTTGAGAAAATCAAGGCAATTCATTTGCCTGCAGGAAATCTGTGCCTCAGGTGGTGTTTTGGAGGACAGACCAGAATTGAAATTTATAGTGTTAGAATATTTTTTAAGGTTTTCTTTGAAATGTAAATGATGGTGAACCTCTCTGAAAAAGCAATGGCCTTAGTAAATGGGGTGACGCGCGTTTGTATGTGTCCGTGACTGCCTGTGAATGTGTATTTCCATGAGAAAATAATGAGGATAATAAAGTTTCCGGTCAGCGTCTACAGCCCTCTGCTCTGCCACAAGAACAGAGTGGGTGGACGGCCTCCTACAGTTAAAAGAAAGGTGCCACGTAATTTTCTGTCAAAACAGCCTTAATGGTAGTCATTAGGGATGAAGAGAGGAGGAGGCACGTCAGGCTAAGGCTTTCTGCTTCTCATGATGAGTCAAGTGACAATGATTCAACTTCACTGTGTGTTAGAAGATAAACAGTACATGGTTATATTTTTATAAAATATCTACATGGAACTTGGATCCATTCAAATGCTTTTTGCATCTTTTTTGATGTAAGTGATCTCTCGCAGTTTATGTAGCAGTAAGTGGCAGAAACATACACTCACCATACATCATTTATTTTCTATTATTAGTTTTTCCTATTGTGTTTGTTGACATTAATGTATGCTACTGTCTGTGTACAGAGTATTCTGTTCTTTGATGATATACAGCACGTGGCTGACGTGTATGCACTTGATCACTCCATTCAAGCAGTTGCTCAGTTCTTAGAAATCTGGGTCACTTATTTGTTCTTTTCCTGGTATTGAATCTCAAGCGCTACTATTACGTGCCGGCATGCAATTGCTCGAAGTCTCCTAAATTGTGCCTGAGTAATGGTTGCTCATCCATGCATGCTTTTATCCCAAGTTTAAGTGTCTTTTACTTTGTCTTTCTCTCTCTTCTCTCTGATTCTTA